TAAACTAACTGTACAGCACTGCTGAGGGATGTGCAAGTGAAGTGATAATGCTCCGAAAGAAAGAAGAAGGATATTCTCATAAAGGAGAGCGGGGGCCGGCGACATAGCTCAGCAGTGTAAAGTGCCTGCTTAGGCAAGCTTAGGCAAAGCACAGAGACCACGATTTGATCCCCGGCACCACATGCTGTACCAGCCCTGCCCTCAGGGTGGGCTGAGCTGGCCACACACACACACACACACACACACACAGTGGGCAGAGAGGTGGATCTGGTGGGTGAGGCCTGCTGGGGGTCTGGGCACTGGCTGCATTCTGTTTCTTGATGTGGGTAGAGTTTGCAAGAGTTCCCCCCTTTAACAATGATTACACTACAAATCTATTGTCTCTATCTGAGCTTTCATTTTTCACCATACAAAAGTTTTATGTTTGCATTAAGTACACAACCCTGATTCTTTTTCTGTACCCCATGCTCCCTGACTTGGAACCCTGTTGACTGACTACAAGCTGCTGAGTTCTAATTGAATTCAATTTCTAATTGAATCTATAGGTTTGATCCAATTGGGATTTGATTATTTTTGGAAAGACAGTTTCATTGATGGTGGTGCATTTGTCCACCCAAACGTATCTCACCATCTACAAAATATACAATATTATGAACAACCATCAAAGTTGAATTCCGAGATCCATCTGTTTCCTTGGGGATTCAGAATGATGAGACTCTAATCCAAAATACTCCCTGTTCTACCATTTGATTACCAGTAGGACAGGTTCTGAATTCTCCCTCATCTCCTTTTCCTGGCTTCTTCCCTAAGTACATTTTGAATCAATCAGAATGGACTCTCATGCTGCAGAAACAAACAGCTCTCAGGGGCTTAAAACAAAGAGTTGCTTCTTGCTTATGCTACACATTGGTACATCACTGCTTGGGGTACTAGGCTAATACAGCAGTGAGGTAGATGGCCTCCTCGGCCTGGGACTGCTCAGGCTCCACTGGCCAGGCTGCTGATGTGGAGTCCACCCACCCAGAAGGAAGGTGAAGGCCATGCTGTGAATGTGCTCAGAACTGTTTGGTAAGTAACATTAATAAAGCTGGTCCTACTTTGCATAACACTGATTTGCACAATTTCTGTTTCAATACCACCACTGTCTAATGACCTGCTTCAAATTTCAATCACCACACCGTATTAACTATAATTGCATAAAATACTGTGGTACATTAACTAATGGTGAACTTGGAGCACTCAGCTGAACTGAGTCAGGGTGGTTTGGGGCGTGCGGGGCCCTGCTGAGGATCGTTGCCTACAGCATGAAGAGAGAACTGGAGGGGAAGGTGCAAATGCTGTTGGCTCTCCTGGAGAAGCTTGTCATGCTGCTTTTCCTGATATGAACATGGCTATAAACATCATCGGAGGAGCTTGTCCAAGGATGGCTGTGGTTCTCTTAAGGGGAGTTCTGGTTGTTGAGCATCGCTTCCTGGCTCCAGCACAGATTCCTCAGCCGGCTGGCACAGACCCTTCATCCCGCTGGCTCAGACTTTCTAGCTGTTACCAGTGACCTTTGGGCCTTCCCAGAGCAGCTCCTTGCCATAGATTTTCATGAGACATTGCCATGGGCTCTAGGCATTCAGCTGGACTCATGCAGAACATTGCCACGGGATCCAAGCCCTCAGCTGGATTTTTTGGGTGTCTAGTGTGTGGCTGAATCTCCCACAGTCTTTTGTACTTGACTTTTGGGTGAATATTATAAAATAATCCTATAAATTATGTGTCCTGTATTAAATTTTTCCCATTGTAAATGCTGACTACACCAAATACCAACTTCACTAGGATTGGAACCAAGTTGTTAGGGACCTATAGTATTTAACTAAATTTAGGCACGCCCGTGACATGCAAAGCAAAGATTGCTTTATTAATGTTGCATACTACATACCTCACTGCCACTCACAAATTATGAATTTAATCCTTGGTTCATAAACTTAATTTGTTCCACAATTCTGAGGAAGATACTTGCATTCATGTTTGCAAGCAGATAATGACCATAGCTGTCATGTGGATCACCAGATGCAGTTTGTGAAAGGAAGCAGAATTTTGCTGAATGCTTCCTCCTCCTCCTCCTCTTTCTCTTTCTTTTCCTTCTCTTCTTCCTCCTCCTCCTCTTCATGCTCCTCTTCTTCTTTTAGAGACAGGTTTTTGATATATAGTTCAGGCTAGCTTCGAATTCACTCTGAAGCACAGGCTGGCCTTGAACTCCTGGCAATCTTCCTGCCTCAGCCACCCACGTGCCAGAATTGCAGACATGCACCACTGCGCCCAGCTCGCTGAATGTTTCTATTTATGAACCAAATTGTTCATGAACAGAAAGATGCATGAATTGAGGCACTGTATTATTGTACTATATGAATCTAGATACACTCAGGATGTGCCTGATCAGGTCATTTTTCTCAGTGTCTCTCTGTCGTTTGTCGCTAAACATTGTTATTCAGCTCAAGCCCAGGTGGCAAAGTGGGAAGTTTTGTTTCTGCCTTGTTTCCTCGTCTCAGTTACTTTTCTCTTGTTGCTGGGACAAAATACTGGACACTCAAAACTAAGGAAGGAAAAGTAATTTAGCTCACAGTTAATGGAGTTTTGGTCCACACTTGGCTGGCTCCAAGGCAGAGTGGCACAAAGCAGAGGGCAGCTATTCAAGGTGGTGGAAAACAGCAAAGGACAATGGAAGGAGCAGCAGCTGCAGCAGCTAGCGGGCCTCTCTCCCTTCCTTCTGCCTCACTCCCTTCCTGTATTGTACTCAGGCCATCTGCCCCAGGGCAGGTGTTGCACTCACACCCACATCCCAGCATTAGATCATAAATTAATCACAAACTCTAGAAGCTGCCCCATGAGTGGATGAGGCTTTAAGGGGACAACTAGACACAAACCATAACATTCTGCCTCATACCCCCAAAGACTCATACATATTCCTGTATGCAGAAGGCATTTAGTTCATTTCTAAGAGTTGCCGAAGTCCTAACAGTTTCAGCATTCCTGAAAAGTCCAATTCCCAAGTCTCCTCCAAGATCTAAGGCAAACTCTTCTTGGCTATGAGCCCCTGTACAAATGAAAAGTTAAGCACATTTAACATTCAATGGCACAAGAAAAGTATTACTATTCCAAAAGGTACAAAAAACAGGACACAAAGCATTAGGACCAAAAATAGTCCTGCTGGTTGTAGCTCCCAGGGCTTCTCTCCCAGGCTGGCTCTGCTCCCTTCTTGAAGCTTTCCTCAGACAATTCATGGTCCTGGATTTTCCAAACTTCTTGGGTTTCCACTCATGTTCGGCTTCTCACTCACAGCTCTACACAGTGCCCTCTCAGGGGCACACTGCCTGGCCTCCCAGGCCTTTTGAAATCTATGTGGAAGCCTTCTTAACATCAGAACTCCTGCATTCTGCATGTACCAATGCCACGTGGATGATGGCAAGGGCTGCTGCCAGCTGGAGCAGTAGCCAGGTGTTCTTCTCTCTTGGCTGCAGTGGTTGAGTGCCTGGATTGCTGAGCACTCTAAACCTGGTTCTGAGGAATAAGTTTTCTGTGCTACCACTGTTCTGGAACCTGGTGTGGCTGCCACCACCATTCTGGAACACGGCACTCTGCAGCTTTCTCCTCAAAGCAAAGTCCCTCACCCTTGTAGTTCTGATGCTACAAAGGGCGGAGACCTGCCACCTCCTGTGATGCCCTCAGGCCATCCTTTACATTCTCTTGTTTCTTCTGAGCAATGGAGATCCTCTCAGCTCTTTTGCTGCATTCCACAGCTTTATTGACACTTTCTTTCTGGCCAAACTCACAACATTTTATATCATCCTGCTGAGTTCTTTGCTCTTGATTCTCAACATAAATCTGACTAGAAGCCCCAAATAATAGCTATGCCAATGAATCAACATTCGATTGCTTTGAAATTTCTTTTGTGAGATTAACCAGTCTTCCACATTTAATCCAGTCTCAGGCAAAGTCTCTGGACACAGGCAAAATGCAGACAAATGTTCTACCAAGCCACAACACACATTGCCTAGAGACCAACAAACAATGCAGTCCTTCTTCCCAGCATAAACCTCCCCAATCTGGTCTTTACAGGCAGGATTCCCATCAGCCTTCTGATCTTCCGAGCTCTGATCAGAATCTCCCGTACAGCCAATGGTGTTCCAGTGCTCCTCTTTCAAGCAACATCTCTGAACCTTTCCTCTCTCTCCCCATAAGCCATTCCCACAGATGCTTAAACCACATGGTCAAGGAGAGTCACAGCAAAGACTCCCACTTCTCAAAACCAACTTCTGTCTCAGTTACTTTTCTCTCATTGCTAGGACAAAAGACCCAACACCCAAAATTAAGGAAGGAAAGGTTGATTTAGCTCACAGGTAGTGGAGATTTCAGTTCATCTTTGGCTGGCTCCAAGGCAGAGTGGTACACGGCAGAGGGCAGCCATTCATGGCAGCAGAAAACAGCAAAGAGCAAAGGAAGGATCAGCAGCCATGGCAGCCAGCAAGCCTTTCTCTCTTCCTTACATTTGTATGTAGATTACCCACCCAAGAGTGGGCATAGCACTCACCCATAATCCCAGCACTAGATCATGAATTAATCACAAACTCTAGAAGCCGCCCCATGGCTGCATGAGGCTTTGAGAGAACGTGAAGACACAAACTGTAACACTAGGGATAAATCTGAATGAGATTTTACAGAGATGGGTAATCCATAGAGATTAAGGTAACAAAATTAAAAGTGCAACAAAGAAACAAAGACCAAGGCAATAGCACTGCAAATGAAACTGGATGTGATCAGAAGACTTGAAAATAGTAGTAACAGAGCAAAGATACATAGACCTACAGGAACCCAAAGGTACCAGGCATCCTCGACAAGTCCAGCAAGTACATGAAACAAGGTAAAGTCACGTCAACATCTTTGTAGTTGAAATCACCAGACACCAAAGGCTGCCTATCGTCCAAAAGAGCATTTTCGTCTAGCTGGAGTCAAAGACTAATACTTGAAAATCCTAGCTAGTCTGGCTAACATTCAGGTCAAAGCACTGAAATTAGTTGTCATACTGAAAGCAAATGGTGACCTCAAATGACCAAAGAGGAACCTTGTAAAGGCTGTTTTTATATTTTCGGAATTGAACTGATCACTGGGGCTGGGAGACGGCTCAGTGGTCTACGTGCCTGCCTGGCTGGGCAAGGCCCTGGGTCGGATCCCCAGAACAGCAGGCACAGTGTGCCTGCCTGAAGCCGGGCTTGGTGGTGCACACCCGTAATCCCAGCACTGAGGCGACTGAGGCCGGAGGATCACTGCACACCTGAGCTGTGTGGCGAGACCCTGTACTAAACATTTTTTTTATATGATTGAACTGATATCAAGCTACCGGTGAAGCGACTGGCCGAGCCAGGAATGCTGCTGTGAAATTTGCACCCAGAGCCCAAGTGATGGCTGCAGAAAACTTCACTTTGAAGGATACGTCACAAGAGCAAAGAACAAAATATCAAAAGCAGACCCAGGCCTAAAGCATGGCCATCCATCCTCCACAGCACAGGAGAGATGCTTATTCCATATCACAAGTTACACAACGAGAGCGACAAGGCAAGGACGACTGTAACTACTTTTGAGAGCTTTTTACACAGGACTAAAACACTGTCATATCAATGTTTCTCATGGTTTAAATTACAGCATAAGTAAATATTATTGTTATTAATTTTCTATTTCCTTATGCAATTATTACCAACAGTGAGAGCTTTTAATGTTTTGATAAAAATGCTTAAAGGTCACAGAGAGACTGTGGTCCATCCCCGCGATTATTAAGACCACTTTATCTGGTTTCAAGTTCCCCATCACTGTTATGGCTCTGCATTAGTACACCGAGGAGGGACTGCCCGCATGTATGCCTCGGTTATGTGGAGTCAGGTTTCACTTTCCTCACATCTGTCTGTGCCAGTTCACATAGACTCTGAGGAAATCTCTGGAAAAAGAACATGAACCATTTGGATTAGGTAGGAACAAGGATTCCAAGTAAGGTTCGGATTCGGACTCCAGTTATTGAACCCTAACCTAATCTGACCACCGTGATCACCTATATGTGACTGTGAGTGGGTAAGGGTTTTGTGGAGGAAACGAGACCCACCGTACCCACATAAGGTCAGCTCACTCTTCTGTGGAAGGAGCTGGTGTAAGAATGTGTACTGAGGCCTGGGGATATAGCTTGGCAGTGTATGTGCCTGCCTGGCAAGCGCAAGGACCCGGGTTTGATTCCTGGTACTGCATGCTGTGCCAGCCCCAGAACCCCAGGCAGGCTATGCTGGCCACCAAAACCAGGCATGGTGGTGCATGGCTGTAATCCCAGTGCTGGGGAGGCTGAAACAGGAGGATCACTCTGGGTCTGAGCTGCACAGTGAAACCTTGTACCAAACAGATAAATAAATAAAAGACTTTTTAAAAAAATTAAAGAAAAGAATGTGTACTAGCAGAGGGAACAAGGTTCCTTACCTACGTCACAGGATTCCAACATGGAAGTGACAACCAGGATGGGGTCTGAAGCTCTGCCTGGGCTGAGCATCCAAGGGGGCCTCCTGGGGCCACTGGGGCCAATTGCAATGGCCAAGAGCTGCAGGGCTGATGGGAGCCATGGTACCAAAGGGCATGGAGGAGGTTGTCGGCACTGGGGTGTGAGCATCAGCTCATCCAGAGGGGGATTGAGCGTGGGGCTGAGCCACCAACTGCATGCCTTTGCTATGGCAACGCAGGTGTCCTGGGGGGAAGCAGGTAGGGGCAGGAGACAGAGCCTTGCAGAACGGCTCAGGCTCATGCTTGGGAAATTCTGTCCATCGGTGTGATAAGGTGGCTATATAATTTATTGTTCAAACTGGGAATATTTTAAAGGAAAAAGACATTGCTATTAGTGATTTGTAGGAATTAAAGTCCATAATGCATTGATCCTGGCAAATCAGGCTGTTCAGTCACTTTAGTCACAGATGGAGCCCAGGTAATTAAAACTAGAGGTCGAATCAGAATTAATAAAAACCAAATGAGCCTACCTTGTCAAGTAGGCTGCATCCCCAAGTCCTGGAAGTGGACTTGGGGATGCAGGTGAGTAGGCGGCATATTTAGGGGGTACTGCTCTTGGGATCCACACTTGGGAAGGAAAACGAGGGGGGCGGGTAGGCAGAGCAGGGTAGCTGGACTGCACAGGGCCTCATTCAGGCATTAGCCAATCCCACAGGAAAATTGGTGCTGTGATGATCTCCAGAGTTGTCCCGAGTTGGGATGAGCGGCATAGACGCTGATTATCCACATCCACAGTCCTTGGAAGTAGCTGAGAGTTCTCTCCAGTTGGTGGCGGATTTCTGGGGAGCACTGACAGCCGGCAGCACCCTCTACACTCCTGGAGGGGAGCACAGTGGCATACCATGGTGTCCACTACCTCAGGGAGAGGGGAGCTTGAATGTAAAGGATCTATGAAGACGTGGACCTTAAGGTTGGTTTTCTATGCATTGTGTGCTTTATCCATGTAGAGGGAAAAAAAATGCCTGACTCAGAAGCGAAACAGGAAATAGTTGTATAACCATAGATATGATACATATGGTTAAAGCCCTCGATGTGAGAGGCAGCTGTCACTGGACAAATTGTTAGAGAATGTTAAGCTATCTTTAGTCTCAAAGGACTTAAATCTTGAAAAAATTACAGTTTCCCTGTGTCTTGGTTACTTTTCTCACTTCTGGGGCAAAATAACTGGCATCCACAATTCCAAAGAGGAAAGGTTTCCTTTAGCTTGCAGTTTGTAGAGGTTTCGGTCCATAGTCAGCTGACTCCAAGGCAGGGCAGCATGGCAGAGGAGAAACGGCCCATGGGGTGGCAGGCAGGAGACAGCAAGGCAGCAGCAGAGAGCCTCCCTTCCCCTCTTCATTCCATTCAGGCTGCAGGCCTATTGGCTGGGCTCCCAACACTCAGCATAGGCCTTCCCATTCGCCACACCCAGAACTGTGCTAAGCCAACCAGTGGGTCAATCTAGTTATCACACATCCTTAATCCACATTCACACACCTACATCTAACCCCTTCTGCATAGCCCTGCCTATGAGCACATGAGACATTGTGGGGACATCGAGATACAAGCCACAGCACCCTCTAAATTAAAATACCAGCAATGCTATAAACAATAAGATAAAAGAGGTACAAAGTTGTATTTTTTTCTATTGTGATTATTTATATAGTTTTAAAGAGTTTTTTTTATTTGTTTTGTTTGTTTGTTTTTTAGGGCCGGCCAAATAGCTCAGTGGATTAAAGTGCCCGCAAGCAGGCGCAGAGGCCATGGGTTCGATCCCAGGCCCTGCCGTGCTGGCTCTGCGCCCAGGGTATGCTGAGATGGCAATTGAGACTAGGTGTGGTGGTATATGCCTGTAATCCTAGCTCTTAAGAGGCTGTAAACAGGGGGATCACTATGAGTCTGATCTAGCAGTATAGACCCTTCCCTAAAATACACACACACACACACACACACACACACACACACACACGAGGGGGGTGGTTTGTATTATTTTATTTTTTTGGTATAGGGAATTGAACTCAGGGCCTCACACTTGCCGGGCTGGCGCTGCACTGCTGAGCTACATCCTTGATCCTATTTTGATACTTTTAAAAGAAAAATTTTGAAAACACATTATTTTCTAACCGTGCTTTCAGTTGCCCATGCCTTCCTCATGTGCCTGGATTTGGATAACTGAGCCCTAGAGAAGGAGGGCTTATTGTGGGTCTGTGGAGACAGAAATTTCCATGGTTCTTGAAGACAGAAGGATTAAGAAAGGGGTGGGAAGGGAGTGGGTGCAAGGGGTGGAGGGACAGTAAGGAGCTAAGAGCACTCACTGGCCTTGCTGGAGCTCAGGCTGTGCTGTGCCGGGTAGCCGCAGGGCGGGTCACGTTGTTCGGGTCCCTCTTGTCAGGGCTGTGAGTTCCTGATCCTTATGGGTTAATAAGATTGATGGGACGTGACTGCAACATCCTCCCTGCCGTTGCCTCTCCTTGCCCAAATCTGAACGCCCAGGCAGGCAAGGTGCTCAAGGCCCTCTGGAGCAGACGCCCCACGCAGTGGGTACAGGAATCCCTGGCCACCCAGGTGGCAGCCTGCCCGTGTCGCGGCTCAGCATATAGTTGTAAACACCACAGCCAACTGCTCCAAAGGAGACAACGGGTGGGTGGGGGAAAGGAAAAAGGAGAGAAGGGAAAATTCAAATAAAGTTACACTCACACACGCACACACACACACACACACACACACACACACACACCAGCTAAGATAATTGTACTACTAATTTCTATTAGTTCATTGAAAGGAGAAGTTGGTGCTTTCATTGTGTGATCACTCTTGCATGCCCATATCTGGTAATCTGAGCCACTACTTTGAAGATAATAATATGCACTATAATAACCATTGTTAATTTTCTATCATCTTGTTTTGAAATTCTATATTATTTTTATTGTGTTTTCTTTCCCTCTTTAAAACAAAATAAAACAAACAACCCCCCCCCCCAAAGTCCACCATGGCCCAGCTGCCTGCCAAAGGGCCTCGCCTACCAGCCGGGGGCTCTGGGCACGGCCTCGAGTTGGGGGCTGGCCTGGAGAGGCCCGGCCTCCCCCACCCTGCCCCACTGACCAGTTGTTCTCTCCTGCTCTTACGCAGAGCACCCCACAAGTAGCAAGGCTCCGGCAGTCTGGTTTCGTCTTTCCATGCATCCCCTGACAAACTGTGAAGGCATTTTATTCCATAAACATGTCACAAACAAACTTGGCGACTGCCTTGCCAAGCTTCTGGCCTGAAGCTCCAAGACCTTTCCATCTTGCGGGCAGCCAGCTTGGCAAGGCAGACAAGTGGCAGGAGCGCACTGAGGCCGTGGTGCTGTGGTGCCACAGGGAGAGTCCCCTCCCTCGCTTCGCATCAGATAATGCAGGCAGAATCCATTCTTAAAGACCCAGCACTCTGCGCAGTCTTCCTCTGAGGAGCAACAGGG